GATCCCCAGCACCCCCCCCAAAAAAAAAAAAAAACAGTATGTACATGCAATGGAGTAGTAGCCATAAAGGAAAACAAAATATCTTCATTTGTAGGAAAATGGATGGAACTGAAGTACATCATGTTAAGTGAAATAAGCTGGATGCAGAAAAACAAATATGTTTTCTGTCATACCTAGAACCCAGTGGGGAGGGGATGACCTGAAAGTAAAAAGAGGCAATAAGGGGGCTGGGAAGGGGAAGGCTGGACATAGATGGACATGATTATACATATATGGAAATAATAGTATGTGTTGATAAGTATAAAAAACAAAAAATTGGGGGGGCAGAGATTGAGCACAGTGTCACTACACCTGCCTTGCAAGCGCAAGGTCCTGAGTTCAATCCCCAGTACCAGAAGAAAAAAAATCTGGCCATGTGTCAACATCCTTATTTTCTGTAGTGGCACAGGAAAATACAATCTGCCATCAGTAGTAGTAACTGTTAGTCAAGTGAGAGTTTATTTTATAACTAACAAAAAGTTGCTTAATTTTCCACACTATATGTACCTTTTTAATGTAGTCTTAGGCCTAACCCTACTAATAATAATTCTGTGTATTTAAAGTAAAAATACTTAATAGCCAGGCATGGTGGCACACGCCTGTAATCCCAGCACTCGGGAGGCTGAGGCAGGAGGATCGCTGTGAGTTTGAGACCAACCTGGGCTACACAGTGAGTTCCAGGGCAGTCTGAACTACAGACTCAAAAAAAACAAACAACAACAAAAAAAGTTAAAATACTTAAAAGAAAATGCATATAAATATTTTAATGAGGAAAGTCGTGAGGTATTTGAGATTTCTCATAATTTGAGATTTTTTAAAATTGTGTGAAACATACAATTTGTATGACTTAATAAGTATAATGAATCAAGAATAAAAATTACTTTTAGCCAGTGTTGTGATGCACTTCCAGAATTCTGGGAGGCTGACACAGAACTATTGTAAATCCAAGCCCAGCCTGGGCATCTTGGGCACTTAGCAAGATGCTATCTCAGAATTAGAAAAGGACTAGAGGTGTAGCTCAGTATAAAGACCCCAGGTCAAATTCCAGTACCTCACCCACCCATGCACATGAGTAAAAATTACTTTTAATTGAACATAGTTCAGCTAGAGTTTTAACAAAGTTACAAGATAAAAAAGGTACTAATAACTTTTAAAATATAATTTTAATAGTTAATTTTCAAAGCAGTTATTTAGGTATGTGAAATTTTATGTTATTGGAATAATTATAAAATCAGTATTGCAATTTTTAATCCATTATATCTTCTGTATATAAAACAGATACCTATTTAAATGTGAGATAACATGAAATCTGTTTCTTTTCCAAACGCTTGATTTAAAATAAAAACAGTGTGAACCAGGGATTTGGTTCAGTGGTGCCGCTGCCTGCCTTGCAAATTCAAGGACCTGAGTTTGATCCCTGGTACCAAAAAACAAAATGTGATCCTTGAATGAGGGCCCAAAGCTAGCCTCTGAACTCAACTCTCTTTGGTGCATGAGGGTGTGCTCAGTGCCCCCTCTGGAGAGCTGCTTGAGTGGCTAGTCTTAAGTAATAAATTTCAAAATCCTCTTTTCTAAGTGAATTTTTTACTGTGAAGTTTACTATTCCATGTAATCTGTCTCTGTTTGAAAGTTCATTCAGGCTACAGAAATTCTTTTAGAATGTAAAGTGACTTCGGAACCACACTGAAATACTCTCTAGCCTAGGCCATACCACCCTGAACGTGCCTGATCTTGTCTGAAATACTCTCTGGTCTATGCTATTCTAAACTTCATGATTCTGTTTTTACTTTTGTTATTGATATGTAAATTTACTATCCTTCAAACAAAGTTGTAAAGTTATCAAAACATTCTTTCACCTTCTTTTACTCAGTTCTTGAATAGGGAAGCTATGTTATAGGTTAAAGAGCTGTTTTAGAATCAACTAGATGGATCCTTCTAAAATCTCAAGCAGTTTGCCTATGTTTCCCGTATGTTCTGATCTTTGCTTTTGTTTTGTTTGTTTATGTTTATGTCTTTCCTTCTCATGGTCCAATGTTCAGTGCTCATAATTTTCTTGTAATGTCATTAAAAACCAGTCAGGCATGGCAGCACACATCTGTAATCCCAACAGTAAGAGGGTGAGGCAGGAGAATTGTAAATTCGTGTCCCATCTATGCAAATTAGCAGTTTAGCAAAACCTTAACCCAAAAGGCTGAGAGTTTACTTCAGTGCAAAGGCCCTGTCTTCAGTCCTCAGTACCTGAGGGGAAAACAACTTAGTTCCCATCTTTTTCTCTGCAGAAAGGGCTATCGCAAGACATGAAGTTCGAGAAATTGAGCAGCGACATACACTGGATGGACCTCGGCAAGATGCAACTTTAGATGAGGAAGAAGACATGGTGATCATTTATAACAGAGTTCCCAAAACTGCAAGCACCTCATTTACAAATATCGCCTATGACCTGTGTGCAAAGAATAAATACCACGTTCTTCACATCAACACTACCAAAAACAATCCAGTGATGTCTTTGCAAGACCAGGTAATTACCACTTAGAGAACGGACAGATGTTTTCTGACACATCCTCAAATTTTGTACCTCAAAGAGATAAAGCATTTTAAAGGGGTATGTGTACTGATTTTAATGAATTGTAAGCCTTTTATAGGAAAAAGACAAACCAACTTTCATACTATTTTACATCCATCACAGTATTTATCACATTCCCTTGCACATAATATATGGTCAGGTAATTGTTAAAATAAATGAATTAATGAATAATGAGTTTTTGAAGAAAATATTTGTATTATTCAAAGTAGTGTCTTTTTAAGAAAATGAAGTCATTTATTGCGAGAGTCCCTGCAATAAAAATTACATTGTTTCAACTTATTATAGAGAAATATTTATCGAATACTGGTAATTCAATTTTGTGACTGGCATCCAGAATCTCATCTTTAACAATTTATATAAATAATAATCAAAGGCTCCTGATGAATAGGGATTATAGCTTATATCTTTAATATAATTTTGCTTTTTAAACTCTTAAATTTTAAGATAAACAGATGGATAATTTTACGAGATGGTTTTAAGAAAAGTGGAGGAAATTATGAAATCAAGTTTACTCATCTCTTTAGCAGCAGTAGCCCACATTTCTCCCACACCTGGAGCTTTCACTATAATTAAAAACAAAGTTATCTCTATAAATATTGATGAGGATAGGATTAGATTCCACGAAGAAAAAAAGATAATATTTGAAAATACTATTTAGGATCAAAAGCCATATTGGAGGGCTGGGGATTTATCTCAGTGGTTCGGTGGCCTGCCGTGCAAGCACAAGGACCCGAGTTCAATCCCTGGTACCAAAAAAAAAAAAAAGCCATATTGGAGTTGCTTTTTATAAATTATAGTTCTGTTGTAATCGGTATTTGTTTGAAAACAACTGAAATTGTTTTATTATTACAAGGTTCACTATTTTCCCACCATCAAGCTTAACTATAGTCTTTACTCTGAAGCAAGAGGGTAACTTTGATACATGAGGTTCAGGTTGACCTGGCTGTAGAGCTGTTTATGAAGGCTAATGATATGCGACATATCATCTGCCCTTACAAGTCTTGGTTCTCTGCAGGATCCTTGATTACTCATTTTCATAGACCCCAGAATACATATCTGTCAGCCAGACCAAATAATTCTTCGGTAAATGAGAAGAAACAGAGCTTGTTTAGCTAAGTGGGTCATAAAACCTACTTATTATGTAATGTATATCTCAAGGGCAAGCATATTTAATATTCCATTTTATACAGTATGTAGATTATAAATTTGTTTGCATTACTTTTCATAATTCACCTTGATTTAAAAGGAACTTGCCTTAATGTTCACATAATTTCAGATCTCAGCAGTATTTTTTAGGAAAATGTTAGCTTGTTTGTCCAGTTTTTAGTTATTTTGTGTCCAGCATTATAAAGTTTTTTGGCAGCTACAAGATAACAGGCAATGACATCAATCAATTTTCTTATGAAATATAGATCTGCAGAAGCTCACCACCTGTGACATTTTAGGCATCATGTAGTAGTAAATTTTCCCAGTTGAATTTGGATAAGATAAAGCTTCTGTTTTTCTTTCATTAACTTGTTAGTTATGTACAGGAAAAAGGCAAAGTATAAGTGCTATTTTTAAAGCAATTTGATTACATAATATATAACATTTAAAACATTTATGTAGGGCAGAGTAGAAGAGTATTCTTAATCATTCACTGACATACTTGCAAAAATCAGCAGGTAGTTCAAAACCTGATCTTAATTAAGAGTGACTTATATAAAAGCTGTCTCTTATGCAATATCTGCAGTTTATTTGTGTTGTATATAGGAGCACTTTTTAAAATCAGACTATATTTACTCTTTCTCTTTGCCTGACATATTAAGTAGCATTTATATTTTCCTTTAAATGTAGTAAGCTTTGTGTGAATGTCAACTTTTATTTTTATTTTTTATTATCAACATAGAAAATTCTTTAAATTCAAAATAATATCGTTATATTTAAAATAATAATTATCATTGTCTCTGAAACAGTTTTAAGATGTCATCATGTCAAAAATATGTAGTAAAAATGTACAAGGAAACAAAAACTATAGAAACAAGTCTGTTCAGTACTGGCATTTATAACTAAGATACAGTAACAGAATCTAAATTATAGAACATGCAGGAAGAAGTTCTCTTGCTTTATTAATTCCCTGAAAAATAAATCAGTAACCTTAGAAATGCAAGAATACCACCACTTGGTTAACAACACCAGCTTCCCAAGGGATAGATAAAGATAGAGATATTCTGTTCTCTCTTTCTCTGATTCCCCTCACTATATTTCCTTTCTTTAATTCCTCATCAGAGCAACAACTTTTTTTTTTTTTTAAGATAAGAGTGACATCAGAACTCTTGTTAGAGCAACACTTAAAGAATTTTCTTAGCATGTAAGGTACATGCTAATCACTGGTTAAAATGCAGATTCTGATTCAGAGGGACTGAGATAGAGATACTCTAATTTCTAAAACACTTCCACTTAATGCCAAAACTGATGCTGCTGGTTCTTAAACCACAGTTTGAGTAGCAGTGATTTAGAACATGATTCTTATTGGGGATATGGAAAGATGCTTATCGTATTCTTCTCGGGAAGATTTACTTACCTTTAAATTTATATTCCTGCTTCCACTGCAAAATCCAGATTCCTTACCTAGACCAATAGGCCTTTTCTAATGTAGTCTTTGTCCAGTGCTCTTGCCTTCTGTTGATTGCATATACCAACCATATATATGGAGAGAAAGAGAGAGAGTGCACGCATTTTTTATAATTTTATAATACTGGTCCAGGTCTAACTCAAGCAAATAAATCACGGCACACTACCTACATTGCTGTATTTTCCCTAAGGGTATCTCGTGATTCCTTGCTAGCCTGACTCTGCTTCAGTTATAAAATCTGACAAAATCAGAGTTTAGAATCTGCTCCAGGCTAGTCATAAAACATTTTTTTCATGTAGTATATCTAACTACTTCTTCAAAATATCCTTCTTGGTAGCATATTTCAATCAGAGTATGAAAATTCTCCTTGAATAAAGTCCCTAAGGTGGCTTTATTCTCCCTAAGGCAGAGCTTTCATTCACGTTTCACTTGATACTGCTAGGTTTTTCTCCTTTTTGCCTATTATTTTACTCTTCATTAGTGCCAGATGTAATCATAAGAATCCATAAAATGAACTGAAGTTTGCTCCTCAGACATGCACTTCCTCATCTTAGCCCTCTGTGTCCCAGAGCCTTAGGGTGAGGGATTGGCACAGTGCCCCAGTGGAGGAGATGCCGAAAGGAAACAAGCCAAAGACAAAGCAGGCACTGCAGGAAAAGTGAAAAGGCAGAAAATCATAGAGAAGGAACTGGGACTGGATTGGTGAAAGGGGAAAATGGAGGAGGTAGAGTGGAGACAAGAAAATTTTTGGAGAAACAAGGGCACAGATATTGGCTAAATAAGAGAAGTGGCTAAGTTAATACTTCAGAAAACTTTTTCAGAATACCTTTTTCCAAAGAGAATACTTTCAGTCTCTCCTTAGAGAGCAACTCTGAATAAGAGATAAGAACAAAATGGAATTTCAGTGGTATACAAATGACACTTTTAAATGCTCAGACTGTTTTCCAGATTAGTGTAAAGCACTACTCTAACCTTTTTGACATCGTTTGTTTGCTTAGCACTTTGACCTTCCCCATAAAGGGAAGGTTAACCTCATATCAGCATCTTTTGGTTTATTGCACATTGTAAGTCAGCCATAGCTTTCTTAATGAGACTTTAACGTATTGCCTTAATGTTGAAGAGATGAAAGAAAAAATACGTATATTTTGAATATTGCTGTATTTGGATCTTGATGCCCCTCGGTGACCCATGTATTAGGGAGTTTGGAAGATGGAAGACCTTTTAGTATATGTGCTGCTGAAGTAAGAACTGAAAGACACTTTTTAAGAGGTGAGGCCTAGAAAGAGAGAGGTCCTCTGGGTCGCTCAGAGTTAGGCCTCAGAAGGGATCATGGGTCCCATCCACTTTCTTAGTCTCTCTGCTTCTTGGTGATCGGACAGATGGTTTTGCTGCACTGTGTGTATTCACCACAGTGCACTGCCTCCCTGAGGCCCAAAGTAGTGGTGCCCATTGGTCACTAAAACCTCCTCAGTTGTGAGCCAAAACAAAGCTTCTTTTTTATAAGTTGATTATCTCAGGTATGTGTTATAGTGATAGAAAGCTGACTAAAATATGTAGATGTTGATCTTTTATTTGCAAGATTGCAAAAGAGATTCAATGCATTTTGGGGACTTTGATAACCTAAAAGTAATTACAATCTTCCTAAACTTACTTCAGATATTAAGAATTATTTCACTTAGTCCCTTGATTTTAATCAGCAGTGCTCAGCAGCCCCTGGGGTTACCCAAGACAATTAAACAGCACAAACACAAACAGCACACATATTGGTGGGGATAAGGGTCATTGTTGAAATGAAATGGTTGCCCATGGTTATAGTGATGAGAATGGATGAGAAGTTGAGATTATGATGAAGGTAATGAATACTTTCATAAGGAAATAAAATTTAAAAGTTATATCAACCGAACCTTGAGGTTTTAGAAGTGGAGAATTGAGTGTGTGTGTGTGTGTGTGTGTGTGTGTGTGTGTGTGTGTGTGTGTGTGAAAGAGTGATAGTGATCTAACCCAGGTCTTCCTACATAACAGGCAAGTGCTGTACCACTGAGCTGCATACCCAGCCCCATTGGAAGAGTTTGAATGACCCTGAGGAGTTACCATAGTAGTTGAATTTTTCAATATCCCAGTTTGTTGATCAGAATCAAGATGTAAATAAAACTTTTTCTTCCAAATCTTTTTTGGTTTCTTTATCTAAAAAATAAAGAGTAAGGTGTGTTCTTGGTCTCTTCCACCTGTAAAATTCTGATTCTATAAACAAGAGTTCAAGATTGGTTAAAGCAGTGGAAGATTCATACCTTGTACTTTCTTCCTTCAGCATACTTTCCTGTTTCCAACTCAAAATACAGATCTTTTTCTTATTTCACTAATTTTTAAACTATATTTCTTAGAATGCTTGGTTCCAGTGTGATTCAGGAATCACTGAATGGTAGGAAAATGAGACTTAAGTAGGCAGAGTTCACTCTGCTTCTGTTCCCCCTTTCTGTTTTATGTATTACAATAGCTTATAAAATTATCACAGTTTTGGTAAGTTTTAGTCCGTTTTTACTGAGAGTATGAAGTTAACTTTACTCAAGTGCTCCTATAGACCTCAGGCCTCCTTTAGGAGACTGCAAAAGCCTCGGAAGCTTGTTTAATGAAATCAGAAGCTGGCTCCTGGGCCTACTCATGCCTTGCTGTTCATTGTGGACCATCACCTGGACATTTGTTACAAGTCCAGAAACCCAGGCTCTGCTCCTGCATCAGAATCTACTGCATCCGATTCTGCATTTTAACAAGAGTACCAAGGGTATCATATGCATACTTGAGTTTGAGAAGCCTCACAGCTGTCCAGGTGTCATGCAGCTTCCTACCTTCCTCACCTCATATTGAAGCACACCATTGGATGAAGTATCATTCATCCTCAGGAAGATTCAGCATTGACCATCCTTAGGAACACTGAAGGAAAAAGGATGCTTGAAGCTTATCCCTGACTCATTTCTACTAAACTTTCACCATACTGTACTCCACCCAAGATTATACTTTGGTCCTATCCAGCGTTCGGCTTATATAACAGCACTTTCTCAGACTTCAATCTAGCACCTCCTTTCGTTTCCCTCCTACACCACCATGTCCATAGTAAACCTCTACTTCTGAAAAATATAGCTCATTTGCTAAATACGTCTTAAGCTCTCTTTAACTACCACCTCCAATTCCATATTCTCTTTGCCTTATATTTCCCTCTGTTTTGACTGAAATGCTGGTACTGATTTTCATAGAACCAAAAGTTTATGTGATATAGTTAACCATTAAGTTGCAGTTACAAGGAACATTTTTGTATTCATTGTGTAATTGTCTTTTAAGGATGCAGGTTTGGGATTATCTAATTTATTTTCTGTTTCTTTTCATTTGCCATTTGGTACTTTCTGTTTGGTACCTAATGTGAAGAATGAATAGGAAAGAACAGAAGAAGCACAACTTTCACATTTACATGGCTCTCTGTTTCAGTGGGGGGGGAATGAAAATATCTGCTAAAATGAAATTATATACTTTCTAATGTAACTCAGTTTTATCTACATTTGATTTTCAGATTTATTTCCAGGGTGTGTATGTTTATGGAGAGAATGTTTTTACTCAATTTCCATTCTAAAAGGTCCATTATTTCCTTTAGTATACGAGTTAAAATGCTTCCCCTAAAAAATAAATTTTCCCCAAATCTTCCATTTTCCCTGGTTTACAGTTTCTCACATACAGCTGCGTTTTCAGTTTCCCTTCCTAACCCTACCAGTAGAAAGCTGCTATCCTCATTCATCGCTATTAATTTAATGACACTAATCCAGTATGAAGTACTCCGGAATAGTTCCCTGTGATTAACTCTATTCTAAAATGTAAATGAAAGGTTGATGAATTATGAGAAGTATGCAGTTGACAGTCCTGAGCTTTTATAGGCTGACATCACAGTTTGTAGATGCCTTCAGTACTGTACAGAGTGGTGGGCCTCACCTCCTGTACTCCCTACACTGTATCTAGTCTCTACGAAAGCTTCTTAGCTACTTAATATTTGTCATAAGAGGTTTACTTACAAAAACTACACTATTTTCCTTTAAGAAATTATAGATCATTGTTTCGAATCTAGTGGTATTTAGTTTTATCAAATTCTATATTAACCAGTTCTTTAAAAATGTTTACACCCAGTAAATTTTTCATTTTAACCTTTCGTACACTTTCAATTTTCAGTAAAATTAGTTTTTTTAAAATACTTTGACTTGGGGCCGGGGACTTATTTAACTCAGTGGTTCTGCCACCTTCCTCACAAGCGCAAGGTCCTTTGTTTGATCCCCAGTACCAAAAAAACAAAAAATAAAATACTTTGACTTATATCACATCTCTAGTTATATTGATCATTCTTACCTTTTTAAAAACCTCATTATCTTTACTCATTTTGGTTTAACTTTTTATTTTATTTGTTGAATCACAGTGAAAATGAATTTTTAAAATAAGCCACTGAACGTGACTGTTTCACCAGGTTGACAGATAACTTGGGCCAATAAACTTGCCATCGGTGGCCTCGTCTTTGGTCACTGGATTTGGACCGCGGTTTCTCTGACCACAAGTTCTTTCCTGGGAACCTGCCCTGCAGCTGCAAAGGCCTCCCCGGCCCATCCTGAGAAATATCGCCGACTGTCGCACCCGGACTGTAGTCCTTTAAAACTAATTTTTTTCACTTGAAGCCATTAGCTCCCGGGGCTCCCTTGAAATTCCCTAGCACTTATTCCTTGGCTTCCTTTCCCGAGACCAACTTAGGTGGGGCGTTCTGTCCGGGGGCGATGATGGATAAGGAGACTTCTCACGCTACTCGGGCAAACATTAAACATCTTCCTGCTTCCAAGAAAGCGTATTATGGAGTGAGGAGCCCCTCAGACAGATTCCACAGCATGCTGTGGTCCCGAGGCTCAGCAGGCAGCACGTGTGCAGCCCCAAATACCCTCAGGACTTGAAAAGCTGTCCGACCTGCTTCTCGCCTCTGGCTGCCACCCCTGCCGCCGAGGCCCCCAGCCTCCTTTGTTGTGGCCTCTGGCCTCTGCTCCCACGCTTGCAGAGGAAAGCTCAGTCCCTTCAAGGATGGAGCTTCACCAAGAAACTGCAGCTCGCGTTAAAAACCAGCGGACAGCACTGGAATCGGGTGATTAAACGGGTAAACCAAACATACTGTATTTTGAGAAATGGCACAAAGCCAGGCAGTCGTCTTCAAGGGCTATGCCTAGGCAAACTACTAACATGCATTTTGAGAATGCCGTGTATACCTCACTACCGTGTACTTTGTGCACATCTTTTACCTTTTCTACAGACGTCTCATTTGTCGTATCGGCTCCCAGGCTTGTCCCATGTCTGCGTGAGTAGCCTGCGTATGTAAAGCCACGTGAAATGTGAATGGCTGTGGGCAGTATTACCTTGACAGAATCATGGGACTTGGAGCGGGGGGACAGGCCTCTGTCGCACTCTTGCTCTCTTGGTTGACTCTTGTATCTGTGATATGTTATCCGGCTGGAGACTCCGGGCCGGCAGAACTTAGAAACACTAGATCTGTGTGTGTGTGGGTGTGTGAGCAGTGAGACGGCTGCCACTGACCTGTAGAGACGTTTTAATAAATCTGGTTTCGTTAAAACAAAAAAAGCCACAACAAAAAACCAAGCCGGGCATGGTGGCGCATGCCTATAATCCCAGCACTCAGGAGGCTGAGGCAGGAGGATCGCTGTGAGTTTGAGACTAGCCTGGGCTACACAGTGAGTTCCAGAGCAGTCTGAACTATATAGTGAGACCCTGTTTTAAAAAAACCAAAAAAAAACGTCATTGAGAACATTTACTACATATAGACTGTCTCTGTATTGTAATTTTGCTTGCTTCAGTATGTCTGTTGGTAGGGGGTAAAAGAATATACACCCTCCGCTCTCCCACTCTATGTAATATACTCTATATGTACAGGATTGCAAATGGTTACATTTTGAAGTTTTGCTTTCAGAATCATCTCTTTTTTCTGAGTGTGGTAATAGAAGCTCTATGATGACTTAGTGCTTAGAGGTCACATTATCTCTTTTTGCTTAATCCAAAAGTGTTTTGCCCTCTGTAATTGTCAAAATGGTGACTGGTTTTAGATTCCTAAATTGAGAGTGATTTGCTGTCATCAGATTTTCATTTCTTTTAAAATGTACTTAACTTACAAATATGTTCTCCCCTTTTTAGGTGCGTTTTGTAAAGAATATAACTTCCTGGAAAGAGATGAAACCGGGGTTTTATCATGGACATATTTCTTATTTGGATTTTGCAAAGTAAGTGATGCCGAAAATGACACACTGAAGAATGCTTTGTACTTCAGCAACCTAAAAAAAAAATGCTTAAAATTGTTATGATTTTGATTTTCCTAATTAGGAACGGACAGTACTGACTTGCCTTTGCTGCTTTTAGACCATCTAGTGTCTTACTGCCCTCTAGTGTTTGTAAATTGGCAGTTTCATGTTAATTACACTATGGAAATAAAAGTTATTCATCATTATTGTATATGTGCTTCTTTTAGAACCAGAGTGATGCTGTTGTAGGAGAGCTTAAATTTTGACCTAGGCGAGCTTAAGTTTTGACCTGATAATTAGATTGTGACTGTACCACATCACTAGAAAGCAAAGAAACTCTCACTCAGTTAGTTATTGATGTCCCAGTACGTAATTGGTTAAAAGGAATAGTTCAAATAGATATAAATAAAAAATTCAAATAGATTCATGTTTAGTTTTGTAGTACCCCTAATGCCATTTTAGTAAAACCTCAAATCCACATTTCCCTTAATATTCTGCATTAACTTTAGAAACACCAAAATTTTTCATTGTTTAAGCTTATTTGCTGTCTTTAAATTAGTAGTCATGATTTAAAGGAATACATCCTCATTTATTTGCAATCTTTAAAAGATATTCTTTGTAAAATTTTAAATGAAACTGATATTTCACTCTGTTTATCTCAATTTGAAAAGTAGGCTGAAATAATACAGATTGAAATAGATAATAAGTCTTTAACTTTTTTGGAAATCATATAATTAAAAAGGAGTCACCTACATATTATGTAGGTAAAATGATGTATTCCAATTTTTTCTCCCATACTACTCAGAGTCTTTCAATAAAATGGTAGCTTCAAAGTTAGATGTACATTTTTCTATAAATAATTCATACTACAATACTGAAAACATTTTATGGGTAGCTTTAAAACAAACTAATTATTTTTTCTTTGCAGAGGCATTGAACCAATTTCATAAACTTCATTCATATGCATATTTTCCCTCAGGGCTGCATTATCCATGAATTGAATGTTTGTTACCCTTTCACCTAAATGATTTATTTTTTCCACACACACTGCTCTGTTTCTAATACTTTAGAAATTCAGATTTTCATTATTAAAATTATGTATTGAGTGCTTTTGCTTTAGGCAAAGTCTTCTATTTAGAACAAAGCTCTCGTATATGGTTAGGTTCTGATACTTGAAAAGTACAAAGGTTTTTGAAAGAAATAATCTTATTTATTAAATATTGACGTGAATGTTTAGAGGTTTGAATATTTTCATACTACTCTTATTGAAGCTAAAAATTACTGGGAAAAGCTTTAATACAGACTTCTACACAATTTTCAACAAATACCTAAACAAAATCAACTAGAGGAAATATATTTAAAGAGTTTAATATAAATCAAGAACTACTAGAGATGTAACTAATATTCTTTTCATTATCTTTTTCTTTGATAGCCCTATAACTCATAACTAAGAAAGAAGAAATGTCACCTTGTCAATTTTTAAAATAATTTATTTTTGACTGTCATTATCTTGATCAGCATAATATTTATAGAATTTATTAAAATACTTGCCTTCAAGAAAAAACAGTGAATTTGGTACAAGAGATTTTTAATCACATAGTTATTTCATTTGCCTTAGCTGGAAGCATTATAAAGGGTGTAAACCCTAGGAAACCCAGGAAATAAAAAATGAAAAGTCCTTTAGTTTCTCTGGTGTGAAAAACTAAAAGTGTAAATAAGGTTCAAATTGTGTAAGGATAGGGGAGGGGAAAGAAGGGAAAAGAAAAATAAAAAATGGAATCAAAGTCTTTGTAAATAGGGAAGGGTGGAGGGGGTGAAGGGAGGGCAGGAGAATGAGGAAAGAATAACCAAGATTCATCATGTAAAGTTACAAGATCCCAATGATGAATGTAACTGTACTGTATACCTAAAAAATACCAATAAACTTTAAAAAAGAAAAAGAAAAGTCCTTTCTAGTTTAAAGTGATTACTGAGAACTACACATCATATTTGTGATCTTACATCTGCCCAAGCCATGTTCTGGTTATATATGTATTTTTGTTTCTCCCAGAACTTTAGAATAATAACCAGGAAATAAAAAATCTCTTCTCTTAATATGTTTTTCCATTTCTCTGTGATCGTCCTACTTTTTAATCTTAATTATGTAGACATGATACATTTGTGCCATATATTTGGAAACTAGTTTAAAACTACATAGGTTGAACATTTTCGAAATGTTCTTATATGTAGAATAAAAACTTAAGTTATAAATCTTGACCTTAATGAGTTTGCTGAAATTCAACTTTTCTTCTAGATTTACCTGTTCGTTGTTTCATTATAAACAGAAAATCCTGCACTACCTTACCCTTTTAAATTCTTGCTATTCATTTGTCAATATGAAAGATAGATTAAAAGGGAGAGAGACTGGATGTAAGAAAACCAAGTAGATTATTACAGTAATCCAAGTAAGAGGACTCAGAAGAAGGCAGTGATAAAAGAGAGAGCGAATGACTTAAGACAAGTAACATCATTGAGAAAGCTTATGAAAGAAAAATTAGACTTGGTAATTTTACTAAATGAAAAATAAAGGAAAGGGAAGAGTTGAGATAACATTTCAAGATGGGGAAAGGGAAGGATATTAGGACAAGGAGCCAGTTGAACAATTCTATGGTCTACAGAGGTTGAGAAAATAAAAATCATCCATGATCTGTCTGCTCTTTATTGTTCTGTAAATAATACTGAAGACTTAAATCTTTTTAACTTCGCTCTTGTCTTTAAAATCAATAAAAGTAAAGTCACTATGTAGTTGAGACTGGCTTTGTTTTTTTTTGTTTGTTTCAAAAAACAAACAAAAAAAAAGTAAAATCAGCTCTTTATTCTGTAAATAATGCTGAAGACTTAAATCTCTACCTTCTCTTTTGTCTTTAAAATCAAAAGTAAAAGATACGGTTATACTTTCATTGACTCAATACTGTATCTGTTCACAATGTTTACCTTGTGTGGTGAGCTAGAAATGATATATTACTCATATTTAATGCATATTTGAAACTCTGTGCCACCAGATTGGTAACAGAACCTAATAAAAAACCTTTTAATAAGCCAGTTTTTAAATTATAAATACTAATTTTTGTATGTGTATGCTACTCTGAGAGAGTATTGTATACTTGAATTTAAACCCTAATGAAGGTATGAAATTAAAATGTTTTGTATAATTCTTGCTGATAAGGTTTAAAAATTTTATTCATTTTCCCCTTCCATCATTTTTTAAAATTTTGACAACAGTAACTATACAAATGTATGGGGTGCACTGTGATATTCCAATACAAATATAAATTGTGCATTGGTTAGATTTAGTTAATTGACATGTCATCTGATATTTGTTTTGGTGTGAAACACTCACAATCATATTAGCCACTTTGAAATATTCAATTAATTATTGTCAACCATAGTTATCCTCTGTGTTGTGGAACATTAGAAGTTTTTCCTCTTCCCTAGCTTTACTCCTGTACCTGTTATCCAGCCTCTTTTCATCTCTTCCTGTACATCCTGCCTAGACTTTGGAAACCACTAGATCAACTTGTTAGCTTCCACATACACCTGAGCACAAGCAGTGTTTCTCTTTCTGTGCCTCACTTACTTCATTTAACATAATGTCCTCAAGTTCCATCCATATTCCTGTGAATTACAGGATTTCATTTTTTTTTTATAGCTGAATATATTCTGGATATTCTGTTGCATGTAGTGTGTGTGTAGACACCATACTTTCTTTATCCCATTTATCTGTTGGTGGATACCTAGGTTTATTCCATATCTTTGCTGTTATGAACAAAGCTGCAATAACCATGCAAGTGCATATGTTTTCTCAGTGTACTGATGTCATTTCCTTGCTATGTATGCACAGTATTGGGATTGCTGGATCATGTGGTAACTCTGTAGGTCTTCAAGGAACCTCTTTCATAGTTGTACTAATTTTAACTTTTATTCCCACCAACAGTACATGAGAGTTCACTTTCTCCACATCCTTGCCAGCATTTATTTTTTGTCTTTTAATAGTCATTCTAACTGGAGTGAGGTGATACCTAATTGTGGTTTTGATTTGCACTTATCAGATGATTAGTGATATTGAGTGTTGTTGTTGTTGTTTCATATACCTGTTGGCTATTTGTATACGCTGTTTTAAAAAATGTCCGTTCCAGTCATTTGCTCATTTTTGTTTTGTTTTTTTAGGAGTTTTTTTGGTACTGCAGATTGAACTCGGGACCTTTCACTTGCTAGGCAGGTGGCGGAATGCCCATTTTCTAATAGGGATATTTGTTTTCCTTGCCATTGACTTGCTTGAGTTCCTTGTGTTGTGGATTTAATCCATTGTCAGAGGAATTGCTTGCAAATATTTTCTCCCATTCTTCAAGTTGTTTCATCATTGCTGATTGTTTCCTTTGCAGTGGAGCTTTTTACTTTGATGTAATCATTTGTCAAGTTTTGCTTTTGTTGTTTATATTTTGGTGCCATGTCCAAAAAATTTTTTTGCCAAGACTAATGTCTTGATGTTTCTCCCCTGCTTTCTTTTAGTGGTTTTCATAATTAGATTATTTAATACATTTTGAATCAGTTTTTGTATGTGGTTAGACAAGTCTAGTTTTTTTGATTTCGTATATAGATACCCTGTGCCATTTATTGAAGAGACTTTCCTTTCCCCAGTATATATTCTTGCTGCCTTTGTACAAGATGAATTGGCTGTAAGTACATGCATTTATTTCTTAGTTCCCTCTTCTCTTGTGTAGATCAGTGTCTCAGATTTTATGTCAGTACCATGCTGTTTTGGTTGCTATAGCATTGCAGTGCATTTTAAAAGCCGCTTTGCTCTTACTGAGGATTGCCTTGGGTTTTGGGGGTCTTCAATAGCCCTGAACAAATTCTAGGAGAGTTTTTTCAATCTGTGAAGAATATCATTGATATTTTGATGCAAATCGCTATGAGTTTGTAGATCTCTTTAGGTAATAGGGACATTTTAACAATATTAATTTCCCTAATCCATGAATATAGAATGTCTGTCCATTTTGTGTGTGTGTGTGTGTGTGTGTGTGTGTGTGTGTGTGTGTGTGTGTGTGTAGGTCCTCCAGTTTTTTTCATTACTATCTTATTTCTGGGTTAAATTTATACCTGTGCATTTTTGTAGCTTTTATGAATGGAATATCTTTCTTAGCAATTTCATATTAATGTATTTTAAAAGCCACTGATTTTTGTGTATTGATTTTTGTATCTGTCAATCTTATTGAATTATCAGTTCTAATAGATTTTTGGTAGTCTATTAAGATTTTTCTGTATGTAGAGTGTTGTCATCTAGAAAAGGATAATTTGAGCTCCTCCTTTTCAATCTGGATGCTCTTCATTTCTTTCTCTTGCTTTATTCTTACTAAAACTTCCTCACTAACCTATAGTGAGTAAGAATAGTTGAAGATTAAATCTTTGCATATTCCTAATTTTAGAGGACATAATTTCAACTTTTTCCTGTTCTGCATTGAGTTTCTGTATTTTGTCATATATAGTCTTTATTGTATTGCTTTGTATTCCTTCAGTATTCCCCTCTTTATCAAGAAGGGATATTGAATTTTATCAAGTGCTTTTTCTGTGCCTGTTGAGATGATTTCTGTGCCTATTGTGATTTTTATCCATTCTATTTAATATATTTATGTTTATTGATTTGCATACGTTAAATCATCCTTGCTTGCTAGAATGAAACCAGCTTGATCTTTTTGTTGAATTCAATTTGAAAGTATTTGCTGTGGATTTTTACTTCTCTGTTCATGAGGGATACTTGTGTATAACTTTCTTTTTTGTGTATGTGTCAGGCTTTGGTAGCAAGATAATGCTGGCCTTATAAAATGCATTTAGAATCCTCTTCCTTTTCATTTCTTTATAGTAGTTTGAGAAGAATTAACATTAGTTCTTTTTTTAAAGATTTAGTCAGTTTTAGCAGTTTAGTTGTCCAGATCTGGGCTTTTCTTTACCTGGAGACATTACTGGTTCCATTGTATTATTTGTTATTGTTCTGTTAAAGTTTACTATATTCTCATGTTTCAGTTTTTAAAGACTATATGTCTGCAGAAATTTATATATTTATTCTAGGTTTCCCAATTTGTTGGAATATGATTATTTATGATGAACTTTTGAATTTCTGTGGTATCGGTTGTGATATTTCCTTTTCTCATCTCTAATTTTATGTTTGGATTTTCTTCCCCCCCCTCTTCCCCCCTTTAGATAAATGAAGCTTATCAGTTTTTTTTAAATATTGTTTCTTTCTCTTTTTTTGTTTTTGTCTTTATGTTTATTTCTGTTTAGATCTTTCTATTCCATTCCTTCTAAATTTGGGATTTTGTTTATTCTTGCTTTTCTAATTTATTGAGTTGCATCGTTAGGTTACTTGGAATTTTACTTTTTTATTTCCTTGTTTTGTTGACGCAGACAGTGCTCTGAACTCTCTACTTTCTCTTTTGAGTATCTTCTTTAATAGTGAATTTTATATTTTCATATGTTTTTATGATGGTTATTTATTATCATCCTTTTGCTTCTAGTACAGATCTGCCTTAAGTATTTCTTATCTAGTGGTGTTAAATTCCCTGTTTTGTTTTTGCCTTGGAAAGATTTATTTCTATTTCATTTCTGTTGGATAGCTTTTCAGGGCATAGTATTCTTGGTTGGCGGTTGGTTGGTTGGTTGTTTTTTTCTTTTAGGATATTGGATATCTCATCCTATTCTCCCTTTGTCTCAAAAGAATCCTGTTGAAGTCTACTATTAGTGTAATGGTGATTTTCTTGTATGTGACTTGACACTGTTCTGTTTCTGTTTTATAATTTAATCTTTTTCTTGTACTTTTGACAGTTTGACTATACTATGCCTCAGAGTTGATATTTGTTGGTTGAATCTATTAGGCATCCTTTGAGCTTTCCTAACCTGGATCTGAATATCTTTCCCTAGGTTTGTAAAGTTTTCAGCAGCAATTTCATGAAATAGGATTTTCTATGCTTTACCCACCTCCACCCCCTTTCTGGAACATCAAAAATTTGCTCATTTAATGGAGTACCTTAGGTCTCAAAGGTTTTCTTCGTTCTTTTATTATTTATTTATTTACTTTGTTTTTAGTCTCATTGGGTTATTTCAAAAGACTGGTCTTTGAGTCAGGAATTTTCTATTCCACTTGATCTAGTCTGCAGTTGAAGTGCTCAATTTTTTTTTTTACTTTTGTTTTACTGAGTTTTTTAAATATCCAACCTCTCTGTTCTGTTCTTTTTTATTATCTCTAATCTCTGTTTCTCATTCATATCTTGAATTTTTTTTCCTGATTTCATTGAATGTCTGTATTCGCTTACATCCTTAAGAATCATTTTTGTGGCTTCTTCAGGCAATTTATTAGTTTCTTTTTCTTTGTGATTTGTTGCTAGTTACTTAGGTTCAGGCTTCTTGTGTCCCTATGTTAGTATTAGTACAACAAACGGATTATCTCACTCAACTGCTTTTACAGGATAGTTTACTTGGGGGTAGGACCACTCCAAAAGATCTGTAAGTAAGTTACAGCTGGTGTGGTAGCAGGAGCCATAGTACCCATCAAGAGTTGCATGGGCATAGGGTGGTCACAGTCTGCCAGGTGGGTGTGACATGGTGTGTGCCCAGTAGTGGGATGGGGTGCCTGTCAGTATTTGAGGGCCATTTGGGGGCTAGGCGAAATCTAGGCCCAAACGGGTTAGTGATCAGTAGCTGAGGCCTACATAGTTCACCTTGGAAGACCTGTGGTGTCTGCCTGCTCAGGGCAACTTGCCAGTCTACTTCTGAAGATCTTGCCATGCCCAGCTTCTGAGAACAGGCTGTCTGCCTCAGCCAGCCAAGCCACTCTGGGAAGGCTGCTCAGTGGCTTCCCAGGGTCAAGGGTGAGTGTTCACCACAATTTTATAAATTCTTAACTCTTGCTTGCTATCTCCCAATCTTCACTTAAACTTTATTTCAATTCATTTCTTTTTTTTTTCATATAGGATCAGTACTTCACACTTCTACACATGATTTCAGGAAATTCCTAAATAGAATAAAAATATTGATTTCAGCAGTTTTGTTTTATTTCAGATTTGGAGTGAAAAAGAAGCCAATTTACATTAATGTCATAAGAGATCCTATTGAGCGGCTAGTTTCTTACTATTATTTTCTGAGATTTGGAGATGATTATCGACCAGGATTAAGGAGACGAAAACAAGGAGACAAAAAGGTATTATTTTAGTTTTAAGGTTTTCATAGAGAGAATTGTTTCCTAACTGCATTAGACAGTGTGCTTTTTAAATTTCTTATTGATTATAAAGGTACTGCTTGATTATTGTGGAGAATTTGAAAAGCATCCCAAAGTATATAGAAGCAAAGATAAAACTATATAGCTCATTTCCTATAATGTCATATTTTTTGTCTTTTTAAAAAAATTGTTCATGTGTTAAAGGGTTGAATACTTGTTTTATTATAGTCCTAAATAATTTTCTAGGGCTGGGGATGTAGCTCAGTGGTAGAGCACTTATTTAGCATACATGTGGCCCTTGGACTGTCAAAAATAATTCTGGGAGACTATTAATAATTACTGATAAATACCATATTAATATATTTCAGTACTCAGTTTTACCGATGGCAGTTTTATATTTATCAGTTTGTTTAAAGCAGAAATTTTTTTGGAGCAAGGAAAAAATAATGGCTCATCATGTTTGTATCAGGCTTAAATTTTGGTGTCTTTCATTTCATTTCATCCTCCAGAGTATCACCAGCTATTTTTCTAAGAACTGTACTGATTTTTCACTTTTCTCATGGGACGCCTTTATTGAGACCTCACTACTTATAACATAGAAGACACAGGCTGACTTCCTCTGAGACCTTCCCCTCCTGTCTTAATATTTCTGCAGGCACATGAAATGTCACTGAGCTCCAAACTTATTGCTTCATATTTTTGCACACACGTTGGTCCCTATATTTTGAGGACCCAGAAAAGTCTTTATGTATGGGATTCACCTCCAGTGAATGTTTCCTCTCCTGTCCTGTTACCCCCAGATACAGTTAGGTTTCTTTCAAGTCTCCCAAAGCATTCTATTAAATCTCTTTTAGAGCATTTATCGATGGTATCTGGATTGTCTGTTTACATACTGTCTTCTCCAGTATTTCTTTTTGAGTCCCTACTATTTAACATGTATTGTAGTAACTTTAGCATCCCTGAGACAAAATACACACAGCTGCAACTCAAGGAGAGGTTTCACTCCATAGTCAGCTGGCTCTAGGGCAGAAGTGGCATGGTGGAAGGACCTGGGCAGAGCAAAGCCGCTCCTGGTGTGTTCTTCGTATCTAGAAAACAGAAAGAGTAGAGAGAGGAGCTAAGGAAAAAGGTAAGTCCTTCAGGCCATGTTCCCAGTGACTGCAGCTTCCCACCAGACCCCTCCTCCTATCTGCAGGTCAGCTATAAGCCCCACAATCCACTCACTTCCAGAATTCCCACCCAGGAATGTATTTCACTCCTGGGGGACATCCAGATACGAACCATAACAACATGGTACCTAGTTTACTTGGAAGTGCTTAACAGTACGTGGATTCTGCACATGTTAAAGTGTTACACAGTCGTGATACTACATACTTGGTGTATCGTGATAAGCAACAATGAACCATTAACTTTTCTCTGAGTTAGATGTTTCTTCTTTGTCATGAGAAGACAAGAGTTTATTGTTTACCATTTTTTATTTTTTCTAGAAATTGGTGTTTCTTGTTCTCAAAATTTTAGTCAGAAAATACTAATCAAAACAAAAATACCTGGGCGAGGGATTTATCTCATTGGTGCCCTGACCTGCCTAGCAAGCACAAGGTCCTGAATTTGATCACTGGTACTAAAAAAAAAAAAAAAGCTGACTAAATCTTCTTTTACTCAGTGTTCACCCATATCTTACTATTACCTAATCTAAAAATACTATTTTGAGGATTCTGAAAAATTTTATAAAATCTATTAGTATAACTTTTTGTTGCCTTGTACTTAGAATATTATCTTTACTTTTGTGACATCCATCTCTTTATTTTGAACAAATGGGCATTAGTGTTGTTAAGGAAAAGATGTGCCATCCTGTAGATTCCTATATTCATTTGTTACTGTCAGCCCTATATAGCACGGTTTTGTGGTTGCTGTCCTATGTAATTTAAGTGATTGAGCAATGACAGTAATTAATAGAATTATGCACAATAAGTCACATTTATTTATTGTATACAGAGCACTGTTTTAAGCTTTATTTATTTATTTATAGCGTATGCATTTCAGTGAGGCAGTTTCCCTGTTTTCCTCACAGATAGGAAACTGGGAAAGGTTGTGCTTGTTTTAGTAGCACATAAACGGAAAGGTTAAAACATTATGGTTAGGTCATATGGCAAGTAAATGGACACCCTATAATCTTAATCCTTCTTTTTTTCTTTAAAAAGAAGTACAACGTGCTACTCAACATTTTAATGTGTAAAATATGCATATTCAATACTTACGGAATATCCATCATCTTCCTTTCATATTTGAAAAATTTAGGTAGATATGCTCTCTTGGAACTTTTACCATTTTCACTCTTAAGTGTGATAAGGCTTGAGTTTTTAAACTGTCAGTATAAAAATATATATTTCTATACCTCTTTTCTTAGAGATAGTATTAGTAACTTCAGCAAAATGCTATTGCATTGTCTTAATACTTACGAGGATACAGCCATTTGTAAAAAAATGATGTTTTTAAATAAATGATGTTGTAAGTATGAAATTACATTGTTTTGTGATAGAATAGAACTTTTCAGTTATGAAATATATTGATAGACATTTTAAATAATTTGTCATGTTTCTCATGATACAAATGTTGGTAACATTCTGGGACTTTGAGTTAAATGGTTTTATTGCAAATGACTCCTTAATATATTTAGTTTGCAAGAGTCTTTATTAAACTCATATCTTTAAAGATAAAAAGATAAGCATACATATAGCATTCTTAAAAATGAAGGAATATTTGAAGATAATGGACATTAAAGAATAGCCATGATTATGTTGGAAATAACTTACAGCAGCTCTTATTGAAAAAAAAATGTCTAGATGACTTCATTCCATGAAACTGTATTTGCACCTCATGTGACACTTTGAAGCATTATTATCCAATGTTCAGTTCCTTGCTTATAACAGCTATTATGGTTTAAACTGCAGTTCTCCAGTATTCTGAACTGCTTTCTGCTTACACTGTCAAACAGTAATTTGAAACATTTCAGGTATCTGTACACTTTAGATACTTTCAGTTAATCTTCCTTCAGTAAGGAACAAAAGATTGGCTTCATTTGGGAGATTTCAGAACCTCCAAAGAACTTTTGTTTATATGATATTTACCAATGTTAGTAAATTTCCAAGTTCACTAATAGATATTTTAATGTTAATTTTAAAATAACCCATCTGTGTTCATATAAATAATATTTAATGCAAATAACCATACCTCCAGCACCAAAAGTGAAAAGCATGGCATCATTTCCTTTTTCCAAATTTTTTTGTATCTAGCTTTATGTAGACATTCTGATTTTTGTATCTGTTTCTGAATTCTAAGTTACATTATTTTGATTGAAGTGTATAAAGAAAATGCAGCTTCATACAGATAGGTAACTGGAAAAGAGACATCATTAGTATCCTTTTCAGAAAATTCTTCTCATATTAAAACTTGACAAGTGGTACTTTCTTAGTTGCAATGTGAACTTTTTATACTCTGTCACATTAAAATGCAATCAGTCTTTTAACCAAGCTTAATTTCAAGCTTATTGGTTTGCTTAGTTATATGGACCTTCCACATGTCCACATACAATGTCCATTTATTATTCAGTTGTACCATATCAAAAATTTACAATTACTAATATCACCAGAGATTACGTCAGAAAAGTCTTTAAGTCTTTTGGTTATGGTGGCAAATACTAGTTTTCCAAAAATTGTATTTTTTGCTTCAAAGCCTAACTTTTATCAGACTATCAGAACTTCTCAACCTCAACATTGTTGTTTTTAGTCAGATAATTCTTTGTAATGGAGTACTGCCTGTACATTGGAGAATGTTTAAAGGCTTTGCTGGCATCCATACACCAGTGTGAAAACCAGAAATGTCTCCACACATTGCCAAATGCCATCAAGGAATTAAACAGCTCAGGGTTAAGAACCACTCAGTTAATCAACACCATCAGTTGTTTTCTTTCAAGTGGAAAACACAGTTTACTTATTTTGAGAAAATGTCACCAAATGCCCAAGTTGGAATAGCCAGAATTTGTCAGTTGTTCTTCAGCATAGCTCTTGCTTCTTTTGGCTTTGAGATACTTACTGCACCAGTAATTCTCATCACTTACACAGTTTCAGCTCTGTATTGCTCTAATAGGTTGTTCATTTTTTTTTTTTTTTATCAGCAGAACACCACGGGGATTATACTAAAAAAAAAGAATAAATATGTGTGTACTTTATATAAAAACACAAGAAGAGTGAGCTTGCATGTCTCAATAAGTATTTATTAGCTCGAGATTACAATTTGTACCTCCATTTGCTTTTTGTATTTATTACTCTGAATTGAATAAACTTAAAGACAGCTGTTGGAATTAGAGTGAACTTAACATATTCTACTTAAAAATAGGTATTGACTTGCAAAAATAATAATGATGTTAGAAGGAGTCAGTATTTAGCGTTATCTTATCCTAACTGTTGGCTTACAAATACTTGCCTTTATGGTCCTTAGTAATTCACAATTTCCTGGCATGTTTTGCTTGTAGAACATGAATTTTATTATTGTGCCTCACAAAGCCATTTCAGAATATATTCGTTTCCTTAGAAAGTATTTTACTTGTAATTGCTTCTTGGCCTTTTGGCTAAGATAAGTGTACAAAGTATTTTACTTGTAAAAAGCATCACAGGAAATCAGTTGGCATATTTAAAAGTTTTATAACTTTAAAGTTACCAGTATCTGTGTAGTGTATAACTTAGTGACAACCATGACCTCCTCTTTGCTAGGTTTCTGTTAGGAAGTTCTTTTCACCAAGGGAGCAACAGGGTAAAGAGTAAGTTGTAATAAAATTCAAGGAAGATGAGTTCCAATTGGACATTATTTTTGAGTCATGTGTAAGTAGGAGGAGATACCCACTGTAAAATATATTTGTATCTCAAGAAACAGGTCTGAAGCTAAATTGGGAGTCATCAACTTTAGGTAGAAATAGAAACCCTGGGATTGGATAAAAATGGGTGTGGAAAACATGGCATAAAAAATGACAAATGAAAAGTATATAGCTCTGGGGAATGCTAACATTTAAGGAAAAGCAGAGAACGGAGCCTGCCAAGAGTACTGAGGGAAGAGAATCAGAAGGTAAAGCTGGCAGGTCCTTGAAATGGATAGGAAAGGAGCTCTGATTTCAAAGAGGTTAGTGAAATCTCAACTGGAAATTTTCATGATTTTTAAAATAATTTGTGTCTTAATTTTTCTAAGCAAAGGTTTTTAAATGGAAACACTGATCATCTCATCTCTGTAAAGAGCACTACAGTGAATCAATATTTGCAGTTGACATATTTAAAAGTTTTATAACTTTTTTTTTTTTTTTTGGTTTTTTGAGACAGGGTCTCACTATGTAGTTAAGACTGTCCTGGAACTCACTATGTAGCCCAGGCTGGTCTCGAACTCACAGTGATCCTCCTGCCTCAGTCTCCTGAGTGCTGGGATTACAGACATGCGCCACCATGCTCAGCAAAAGTTTTATAACTTTTTTTTTTTTTTGGTTTTTTGAGACAGGGTCTCACTATGTAGTTAAGACTGTCCTGGGACTCACTATGTAGCCCAGGCTGGTCTCGAACTCACAGTGATCCTCCTGCCTCAGTCTCCTGAGTGCTGGGATTACAGACATGCGCCACCATGCTCAGCAAAAGTTTTATAACTTTTCACTGTGGACTAATAGTCTCTATTTCAGTAAAACTTACATCTGTGTAGTGTATAACTCAGTGATTGCCATGACCTCTCTTGCTAGGTTTCTTAACTTTTCATTTCTCTGGTGTATCAAACTGGGTTTTGTGAGGCAGAGAAAGTGTCGAGCAGTGGTGGCGAACCCACAGCATACTTGCCATCGTAGGCTTTCTCTGTCATTGAAAGCTCCAAAAGGTTTGCCACCATTGGTCTAGAGTGTTTTTCTTGGGTTTTTTTGTTAGGTTATGTTTTGTTTTTTGCTTTTCAAGGACTTGAAGTTTTATAGGAAAATTACTCAGTCCTATTTCTGAAATGTGACTCTAATCTGAGTGAGATGACTCATGACCAGGCTTTTGTGTGACAGTCCTGTGGCATGAGTAGAGAAGCCCGCGTGCTGATGTGACCATTGAAGGCAGTGCAGCAGTGGACCCTACGAACTCAGTAATTCATAATGTTGTGTACAGGGAAGATAGAACTGAGTGTCTAATTTGAGTGCTTTCACTAGGAAATAGTTGGTTTATCATTATATTTACGTAAAATGGGAGAATTTCTGATACGCTAAAATCTGAAACACTTACATGTAACCAGTTTATGGTCATTCGCAAGTTTTGTTGTTGCTGCTGTTTTTCTTCACATTGTCCCCACTATTGTCCGTCTCAGGCCATCTTAACATCATTAAATTGGCAGAACAAACCCTTCTAACAGAAGATAAGGGAGGCAAAACACAAACTTTTTCCACTAAAACATTCGTTGGGTGGATTAGTGTGGATGTTGCTAAATTCCTAATACAAAGAAACCCAAGTCGTTGAAGATTATTTCTATCTCACAAAGAAGCCTAGAGATTCTTCACTACAACAACCACTCCCATGGCTTTCTGTGGTAAATTTCTATGTTGTGTCATCTCAAAGGAATAATTTCCTTTGGTTAGAAAATATAGATCACAAATTCAACATAAACCAGTACTTATTGTTAAGGACCAATTGTTATCGGGATGGGGGGGTTCCTTTCATATAGTAAAGAATTCTTGTAAATATCTGCATAGAAAAAGTTTGTGAGAGGGCCAGAGATTTCGCTCAGTGGGTCCACCGCCTGCCTTGCTAAACACAAGGACCTGAGTTCGATCCCTGGTACCAAAAAAGAAAAAGAAAAGGAAAAAAATTGTGAGAAAGCCCCATATTTTACTTGCCTTAGCATCTGGAATACACTTTTTCATTTTATTATCTTGCCTCCTCTCATCCATTTATTTAATAATTAATCACATTATGTAATTAAGAATTAAGGGAAACTTGGATTTATGACTTACCAGTGCTCCTTTGTCTTTGTTCCAGACTTTCGATGAATGTGTAGCTGAGGGCGGCTCAGACTGTGCTCCAGAGAAGCTGTGGCTTCAAATCCCATTCTTCTGTGGCCATAGCTCAGAATGCTGGTAGGGAGATAAAGTTAGCTTAAATTGATTACCTTCCTTATTACTTCTATAATCTGCATTTCACAAGTTTGAATGTGTTAGTCCAAAACTACATAAAGAGTAATCAATGAAGGACTACACTAAAAATAGCATGTAATTAATACCGAGCTCTGTGTTTACTTTTTACATGCATTTTAAAAATTACTCATATGTTATCCTCACTGTGTTTTTCAGTTGCTATTTTTTTGTAATTTTGGCTTTTTTTTCTTTATTTCAGCAGAAGTTTTAGTTAGAGACCAGAGGTCATTTCATAAACCTTATTTTGTCCTAGGCTTACGGTTTTAGCCATTCAAGTTAGTTCAAGAAAAGGCTTAGTGTCTAAATTATTTACCAGGTTTTACCATTAAAGTCATGTTTTTTAAGAGGAGGTAAAGTTATGGTTGTAGTTTAGTTTACTAATAAAGAATTTATATTCTAAGAATGTGCTAAGTGTTTAATAATTGTGCATTTTCTGTTCTAGTCAATCATTTAATAGAACAAGTCAAAAAAAAATAGAAAACTGTTAAGTATGAGGTCCTATGCAGTGGATTATTTCAAAGCATTGCAATATCACAGGAAAAATTAGAAGCATGGGAAGAAGTCCTTTTTGGCTTTTAACCATTTCCTTAAACAGGTTAGCAAACTGCACTGTGCAGACTACATTGTGTGCCTAACCTTTTCTTTTTTTTTTCGTACCCTGGATTGAACTCATGACCTTGTGCTTGTGAGGCAGGTGCAGTGCCACTGAGCTAAATTCTTAGCCCACCTTTTTTCTTTTTGACAAATAAAGCTTTATTGGAACACAGTCATATCTGTCTGTTTACTTAGTAGCTATGGCCACTATCATGCTGCAGCAGCAGAGTTGCATAATTTTGATCTAAACCATATAGTAACCAGAAAAGCCTAAAATACTTTTTCCTGGCCCATCATAGAAAAAGTTGCCAAGCCCTGCCTTCAAACAGCAGTGTTTTGCTCTACTAGGCATTTTCAAGGAGATTTTAACTTAATTTCTTTAGTTTGTTTCATAGAGAACAGGGAAGATGTTAGAAATCCACTAATTTACATCCTCCTTCCTTTACCTCTTTTTTTAAAATAGCTGAGAAATAAAAAAGATGAGGCCACCAATTTTAAGCTACTTAAAGACAGAGCTGGAATTAAGACTATTAGTGCTAAAAAGAACCCAAAAGTATATATTTAGGGCAAGCTTGTTTACTAACAGTATAAACACAAAATAAAAATAAGAGGCCCTTAATAGAACCATTTCTTATTTATTTTATTTTGTTCTCAGAAACTTCAGGAAACACTACACTCACCAAAAATACTAAACTCTTAAGATAAGCCCTGAACACAAATATTAAGATCTAACTAAAGAGCTCTTAAGCCTGGTGTGGTGGTACAGACATACAATCCCAGCACTTGGGACACTAACGCAGGATTCAAGACTTCAAGGCTAGCCTGGGCTCTGTCTCAAGGGGAAAAACGTTCTTAAAATGAAAACAGAACTAAAAAAAATTAAATCCACTCACACAAAGTCATACATGTTACATATGTGCATTTTGTAAACTGTCCTTAAAGTAAAATAATTATATTGAGTCCTCTAGGAAAGTCTGAATTATCACTGGATATGAAAGCAAAGCAAATTAGGAACAGGTGTGTTTCCCAAAGGCTGTTAATAGGACATCAGGGCTTTGGAGGTACATGTGTTTATCTGTTTTCTCCATAATGTACAACAATATCAGAAACATCAGAAATGTTTTGCAGATTTCACACCCAGATTTTTAATTTCTTTGGTTTCAGGAATGTGGGAAGCAGGTGGGCTATGGATCAAGCCAAGTATAATCTAATTAATGAATACTTTCTGGTGGGAGTTACTGAAGAGCTTGAAGATTTTATCATGTTACTGGAGGCAGCTTTGCCCCGGTTTTTCAGGGGTGCTACAGAGCTCTATCGTACAGGTATATAAATAAAGAATTTCTTTTTAAATATGACCCTAGCTTTTGTTTATAGCTTAAAAAATATATGTGATTTAAAGTTTCTTCAGTAAAACACCAAAGGTTCAAGAACGGGAGGTATATTGTATATTTCTATTTAGTTTTTTTTTTTTTTTTTTTTGGTACCGGGGATTGAACTTGGGCTCTTGACTTGCAAGGCAGGTGGCGGAACCACTGAGCTAAATCCCTGGCCCTCTATGTAGTATTTTTAATAAAAGTGCCTGGCACACAGTATTTGTTATTTTTTTTACATGAATAAATTATGCATTAGATGAAAATTAGGAATAGTGGAACAATTCAGACTACAGAACCAGCCTTAGAAATGTATCATATTTGATAATGCCAGATTTCAAACTATATATTAAGCCCTTAGATGTGCCTCCCATCTTTTTTTTTTTTTTTTTTTGTACCTGGGATTGAACTCGGGACCTTGCACTTGGGAAGCAGGGTGCAGCACCACTGAGCTAAATCCCTGGCCCCACCATTTTATTTTGTTGTTGTTGTTTTTGGTTTTTGGGTTTGTTTTTGTTTTTGTTTTTTGGTACCAAGGATCAAACTCAGGACCTTGTGCTTATGAGGCAGGCGGCGGTGGCACTGAGCTAAATCGCCAGCCCCCCACCATTTTAAAGTAGGGGTGGGCTGACGGAATTAATCCACACTGATAAAAAGAACATGTGCTATATGTGCTATAGTATACCTGTGAGTGTGCCCCTGCAGCCTCAAAAGTAAGGCATATCTGAAATGACCATCCTGGTCCAATTTCATTTTAAATTTTTTCCTTTTTTGTTTCCTTTCTTGTTTACTTTCCTTTTGGCTGTTACTTGATTAGATACAAGCATAGGAATTCTTACAGTATGCATGTGTCGTAGCTTCTATATGTTTATAACAAATATATGTTATAGGAAATTAGAGTGAAGTTTGGCAGTCTACTGAGTGTTGATCTTTATGTTTTCTGTTTGACATTTCATTAAGTTTTTAACATGTTAAGGATTTACATTCTGAAGGAATAGTTCACAATTCTGGTATAATTAGTATTCTATATTTGACTAAATTATATTAACATAAGACAGTTGTGTTGCCTGTCCTTCAGCATTAAACCATCTCCTAAATAGATATTGATCTTTCATGTGTTCTCTAAGAATTTTTTTACCTTTCCTTTTTTTCCCTTTATAAGTAGGAAAGAAATCTCACCTTAGGAAAACCACTGAGAAGAAACTCCCCACTAAACAAACCATTGCAAAACTGCAGCAGTCTGACATTTGGAAAATGGAGAATGAGTTCTATGAATTTGCACTTGAGCAGTTCCAGTTCATCAGAGCCCATGCTGTTCGAGAAAAAGATGGAGACCTCTACATCCTTACACAAAACTTTTTCTATGAAAAGATTTACCCTAAATCGAACTGAGTACAAGGTGTGACTATTAGATTCTGGAACTAGAACTGTGACCCTCTTCACCATTGTTCTCAGCTTCACATCCTGGATTGCTGATAAATGTATAAGACAGTTTGTACTGGGCTATGTTAGAAAACAGACAGTAACATCAAGGAAGTAAATACTGGCTGGTAGGTCAGTGTTCTGAGATTAAGTTTCAGGCATTTTTCTTCTGTCTAAATTTTGGTGAGAGTTACAACCTCCTGTGTGAAAGGGGGGAAAAAAACCTTACATCCCTTAAAATGAACACATGGCAGGTCTAATCAAAAGGCTATTTTTGCTTTTGACAAAGCATTTTTTTTTTCAACTAACCATGACTGAATATAAATCCATTTGCCACTTCCACCTTCTCCAGAAGTTTGGAGTTATACACCTCTTCTGAATAGTGTTAATAACTGTGGTGGTGTGTGCTTTGTTTCTGTGAATCATGTCTCATGAAATTTTAGACTGTTTGATCATGTTTGCTAAGAAATGTTTCTGCTGTAGTTGGATTTGCCCATATTCATGTACGTGAGGTTTTTTGGGGGGGGGTTTGTTTTTGTTTTTTGGATGATGATTATTAGTATTAAAATCCAGTTTAAACCATCAATACTGTAAAAAGAGTAGTCAGCAGTATTTCTTCTACTACTGTCTTCCCAGTATTTACTATTGGGAAGATAGCTCTAAGAATGTTGGCATTATCTCAAGTTTCATTTAAGACTTCCACACATTAGTATCAAAAAAGTAAGTTTAGTATTGTTTCTCCATGGGTTATTTGTAAAGCTGTAAACTGAGATATCGGTGACTCTATATTATGACTCCATTAGTGAGCTGTGGTATGGGTAGGATTTTCCTACTTCTTCTGTACTTTTACCTGTAGACTATTTTTACTACGGTGCTTTATAATGTGTTTTAAAGCATTGCATTTACAAATATAAAAAAAGAAAAATGCTTGTAAATATTGCATATTTTATGTATTTGGACCAAAAGGTTATAAATAGACAAAAGTGATTTTGCACCAATTTTATTATATCAAGTAAAATCATCTGACCTGCTTACTTATATTTCTCATTTAACTTTACTATTAAATGACTAAAAGGAAGTTCAATTAACCTTTCAATTTTGATAGAATACATTATTCATAATTGGAGGCAGTAGTTATAATAGTGGAAAGAGTCAAAACATTTTGATTTCTGCTCCTGGTTCTACAATTCCAGCTTGGTATCTTGGGCGAGACACTTGACCTCTCTTTGTCTCAGTTTCCTTATCTTTAGATGAGGTTAATAATACCTGCTGTACCTACCTCACAGGGCTGTTGTGAGGACTTTATGAGATGGCATGTGAAAGCACTTTGAGAACTGTAAAGTGGAGTTTAAATGTAAAGTATTATTATACAAACATCTTTAACATATAGTTTCATACCATTCACTTTTTAACAAAGAAAAGGAAAAGTCCGCTTTTAAGCTTTGTGAAAAAATTTATCTTGTTATAAATTTGTGTTTGATAAATATCTTGAGCTCTCAATCTTCCATGTTTCAACAGCTATTGAAATATGAAACACCTGTAGACTCTTAAAAGATTCATGAGCAGCTGCTTGAGTTCAGGCGGTCCTCTGTTGGAACTGAACTTTTGTAAGCTGAGTTAGGGGTAGGGGTAGAAAAACCTTGCCCTTCAAATTGTAAAGATTTTTGTTTGGTTGGTTTATTTTACATGACCATTCAGAAATGGTAGCTATTTTGTTTGTATAGTTTTTAAAGTATGTTTTTCAGAGTTTAATTTTATTGTGCATTCTTACCTTCTTTCTCCTCTTTGTGTAATAAAGAATTTTAGAAATGTTTTCTAAAAAGATAATCTTTAATATGTTTAGTGTAAGTAAATATTTCTGAATAAGGCTTCATCAAACAAAGCATAATTTGGGCAGATTGCCTTAAAGGTTACTGTGTGAGAGGGGAGGAAGGGGAGAACAATGTAGATAAAAAATATTTATAAACAAACTAAAAAGCTAAAGGAATAACAAACTTCTTACCACCCTTTTCCCCCAATAATAGGAAGATATTAAGAGAACATAAGCAGGCATATTTGTCTTACTTGGTTTTCTTTTTCTTTTCCCTTTTTTTTTTTTAAACTAACTTTTATAGGTGTTTGCTGAAAGCATACACAAATCATTTCTTTGCTCAAAAATAAGACACCACTTTGAGGTGGGTTTGTTCGACCTTTACTTACTAATGAGCAAACCCAGGCTGTTCTTGAAGTATGTGCTAAAATTTTGAGGTGCGTTACCTCTTTTAGATAGCTAGAGCAGCACTTAGTACATTCTACCAAGGGTCAGTAAAGTTTTGCTGTAAAGGACCAGAAAATAAATATTTTAAATCTCTGTCACAATCATACTGCTCTGTCATTGTTGTAAAAAAGCAGCTGGAAACAGTATGGAAACAAATGAGTATGGTTATGTTCCAGTGAAACTTTATTTACAAAAACAGATGACATGCCAGATATGGCCCATGAGTTACCGAGCTCTGCAACTAAAGAAGTCATTATTTGTGGAGAAATCATATTTGTATCTCTACTGTAGTGGCCTGAAAGAGTTTATATACTTCCAAAAGCTCCTAACTTAAATCCAAAGAATAGCTTTGTGATTGATGCCGTCTCTCGCACTGACTGATTCATAAACTTTTGTGTATATTGCTTCCACATGGACATCTTTTCCAGCTTAACAGTTCAGGGTAGGGACATTTATTTTGTATTCAGAGTGGGTTAGATGTATCCTTTTTGAAGACTGAAAATGGGGTGGACTTAATTCCATCCAGTGCAGTATAGTCCTAGGAGTCTGGGTCCTTATAAGAACATAACTTTATAATCAAATAAATAGAAACACTGAGACAATACGTATTTTTTTAAAAGTGGCAAGTGTGGTTTTCTTTTTTCAGTCTTTGCACTTTTTCAGTATTTTGACCATAGATTTTTTTTATATCTATATTACAAAACTAAAGTAACCACTTTGAATTTTAAAGATAATGTGTGTGTGTGTGTGTGTGTGTGTGTGTATACCAGTATCTATGTTTATTTCCTAAAAGAAAAAAAATAGCTTTTTGTTCAACCTGTATCAACTCCTGTTTTTTAATTACTGTGAAATGGCAACTTGATAAATTATTGTGATTGTTTTAAAATGTAGTGGGAAGGATATATTTTTATTTTACCCAGCTTTAATCTGTAAATTGTCACTTAAATATATCTGGTAGTAACACATAAAATAGAGCATGGAAATTACTTTTCAGCCATTTGCATTCATGCAATTTCTAATATATTTTGTGCATCTAACTTCCTGATGATTGGATTTAAGCTGTTGAAAATCAAAGAATTTAAATTTCCAAATTTGTTTTCTAAAAATTCAGTTAATGTCTATAATTTGAAATCTGTTCTTTCTTTTTATATATCCCATTGGATATTCCTAAAATTGTTAGTGTCGTCAGTGATTTACTAAACAGTATTTGATATTGCAGATGATTTGCTCATTGTATTTGCATAGTTTAAAAGAAAATAGTTTGTAGGCAATGGTTCTTTTTTTAATAAAATTCAATAAAAATTCTAAAAGCACTAGAAAATTGTAAAGGCTGGTTCCCAAATGTATACCTGGTATTTTCGTACTTTATATTTAAATTCTCTAGAGAACCTCTGTAAATCATCTGGCTGGATTTCCCTCATTTGCTGGTAATTGTCAGGCACACCTGTGATCTTAGACTCCTTTATTATGAGAAGTATCTGGTGTTACCCTCTAAGAACTTTGTCTTCAAGAGGCCCAAGTGTTTGTGTCTTACGATTTGAGATTTGTTTCTTAAATTAGCACAACCTACTTTCTGAGGAAATGGGGTAGTTGCTGTAAGTCTTGCATCCATGTACCTGATGCAGGGTTGCTGTAAGATGCCTCTAGAACTGATCTTCAAGCAGCCTCTGGAGGGGAAAAACAGACCTGTTTGAAATATACTGCCAGTGCAGCTCCTCTGGAGTGGAACTTACTTTTTGATTTCCTGAAGTGGGAATTTTAGAAATTGAAATATGTGATCATTTACCCTATAATTTAAATTCATGCAGCTTTGTGACCTTTGCAGTACTATTTATAAAATGTCCTCTGATGATAATGATCTTTTTAAAACACGTTACTGGCAAGCCTGTGACAGGTATACTGGTGCAGTCTATATGATTTTTTAGACAGTTTTATAGATTTTGGTTAAGAGGTATGTGAGCATCTCTAAAGCAGTATTGAAGGTAATTTAAAGAAACATGGATTGTCTTTTAACAGAATTTTATAAATAGCTAAACAGTGCCTTTTTTCCCCCCTCACAATCCTGTTGGAAGATGCTCATTGCTTTGTCTTTTCCCTGTTTCTTCTACCCTCCTTACCCTCAGTTAGTTGATTTTTGCAAGACTGTTTCTAACTTGAAACCATTTTGTCGCACCTGTTGGAGAGATAATCACTCCTTTTCCTTAACATTCTGCCAGCTTTCTTGTTTCAGTGTTTCAGTTGACTACATGATACAAAAGCTATAAAATAAACACTCAGTGGGAAGGGGAAAGTGGTTTGGTGTCCTGTCTTAATATTTTCTTCAGTAGCCTTGATGCTAGTAGACATTTTCCAAGTTGATTTATTGCTCAGCTGTCATCCCTTTGCTCGGTTATTGTTGACACCAGGAAAGCAGGCATCATCATTGGCTTATAATAATTTCATAGCTTATTTGTGACATTTTATATGAACTGACATGCTTCTGCTACTCTTGTTTGTATTTAATCATTGGTTTTAAAATTTCTGGTAGAAAATGCCAAAGTTATACCTAAGGTATACGCTTAACCAGAAGAAAAAGGGAAAAAAAAGAAATTTTGAAAAAAAAATCTGATTAACCTTTATTGAAGTCCATGTTGTTTGAGAAAATGCTACCTCCAGTGATTGTTATTTTGTCCTTTAAAGCAGAAGAATATCATTTCCCAGCCACTGGCTCACTATTCTGCATAATGCTTGGTTGATTTTTTTTTTCCTGTATTCTGTATTAGGTTGAAAAAAGTACTGGTTCAGAGGTGAACTTTCTAAACAAAATTTGATCTGTACTTAGAAAAGCATAACAGAGGGCGTGGACTTGAGAGTCAAATGGGCCGGCATATAGCAGTGTGACTTCAGTAGATGGAAGTACCGGGATTGTTGTAAAGGTTGGATGTAATAGATGTAGTCCTGGCTCAGACTAACAACCCATAGCTTTTATATAATAGTTTGGAATGTTGATAGGAAGCTGACTTCCCTTCTACCTCTGCCGGGTCTTAATTTTGTGACTTCAAAGCAAGATATTTTGATAAATATTTCTGAAGGCAACTGAATACTTTTTACAGTTAAGAACCTAGTAGTGCCTCCCCACTTACAAACCTGTAGCATAGATACTCCTGGTTCTGAAGCTGTTCTCTCCATGTGCAAATCTCCCATGAGAAAAAGGGCTAAACACAGGATTTGCTTATTCCAAAAGTGGCTTCATTTGTATTTTACTGTATTTGAATAGAGTAGGCTGCCAAGTAGTACCATATAAAACTCAGAATACTGGGAGTAAAATAATTTGCACCCTTTTCAAGAGAAGGGAAATTGTCCATCTCTGTCTCTTGGTTTAGCGGTCACTTGCTTTAAAATTGTAAATTAATTGATCATGTTGGAATTCCAGGTTTTGAGACTATCTGAAAAACAAATTTAGGATGCAGTGATTATTGCCTATACCTGCATGTTAATTAATATTAATATTACTGGCTCTTCTTTATAACAGAAGTTTTACTTTCTGAATATTCTTCATTAGTAACAAGTGTAAAAATGCAGAGGTCTAGTCACTGTCTACCTGTGTTCTTCCTCTGACTGGACGCCCCTGATCACTTACTGTATCTTGTCATCATTGCACAGTTTCACCTCTGTTGCAAAGAGCACAGCAGAGGCATCTTGCAACAAAACAACAGAAAAAGCAAACAGCATAAATTCCCCCTTTCTGACTTCAAGAATAGCCAGTGGGGCAAACAAGGCAAAATTTTACTAAAATCGCTATTCTCTTTGTGATTTGCTGTTTCATCTAGTAGCAAAGAACTAAAACAGTAAAACCGTATTAAAATACTTTAAGGGCCTATTTAATGCACAGTGAACTTCTAGGTAATATATTTATAGCCCTTAAGATCTATTAAGGAAAACAGGAAAATGTAGAAAGGACTTCTCTCAATTACTTCATTGTATAAGGATAAAAAAGACCCTTGAATAGATTATTTTTTGGTATGATATTAGTGGGGTCCCATGAAACGATGATCCCTAAGAGCTACATATTTTTTTCTCCCACTCTAGGTCTGTTTATTCAAAGCCAGATTGGCCAACTTATTGAGGTCACCATAATCTTTTTTTTTTTTTTTTTTAACTTTTGTGGTGGTGCTAAAGAATTAAATCCACGGCCTCAAACATAGCAGGCAAATTCTCTACCACTAAGGTACCTCTCAGCTCTTGATAAGATATCCTTGCTTTTTACCTTGTGTTTTAGTTACTGTATTACTGCTGGAGCAAAATACTCAATACCCAGAAGTTAAAGGAGAAAAGCTATGAGCTATTTTAGCTTATAGTTTATAGAGGTTTCAGTCCATAGTTGGCTGGTTCCAAGGCAGGGCAGCATGGCCGATGGGCATGGCAGAGAAGAAACAGTTCGTGTGGTGTGGCAGGAAGAAGCGGCAATTAGGGGAGGTCCGGGGATATGTAATGCCCTTTCAGGTCACGCTCCCACCAGTTTTTACCTCCCAACATCATGCCCAGCTAAAAACCCATCAGCGGACCAATAAAATATCACATACCCATGGTCCAGTCACCTCCCAAAAGTACCACCTATGAGCGCATAAGGCTTTAAGGGGACATCTAGATATAAACAGTAACATCTTGAAAACATTCTGTTTTATCTCTAATATTTCCATAACGTAGTACTTTGTATAGCGCTTTACCATCTGGATATTCTGGAAGTTACTTTCAAAAGATGCAGTTTGAAGGTGTGGAGAAATCAGTTGGCCATAAAAGGCAGTTTGTACAGTAATTAGGTCACGATCTCTGAAGCACCAGCACTTAGTGTCTGATCTTGAACAAATTAAAGCTGCCTCCTGGTCTACAAGATCAACAGTTTGTCTTAGTTTCCTCGTTACTGGGACAAAATACCCAACATCCACAACTTAAATGAGATGCATTTTGAATCCTGCCTTGGAAGTTTCAGTCCTTGCATGGATCCTATGCCCCAGGCAGAAGCAGTGTCATAGGATAGTGGGGAAAGCTGCTCACCTCTTGGCAGCCAGGGAGCAGAGAGGAGGGAGGAGCTTCAGAGAGAAATCTTTCCAGGTTTACCTCAGTGATCTGTCTCCTCCAACCCAGACCCACCTCCTAACAGTAGAGTAGCTATATGTTCCCCATAATCCAGTCACCCGAACACAGGCTTTGGGGACCCCTGTAGATATAAATCATAACCAGAAGAGTTGATTGGGCTAATAACGTACATATGTGCAAACTTAGTTCCTATCACGTAGACACTAAGAGCGCTAACATCATCTTCCATGATAATTCTGAAAAAAGCATGAGGAAACCTCGGCCATTCATTAACATGTGCCAGGTACCAGGACTATGAAAGATGAAGCATGGCCTCTATTTGTTGGGATAGAGAAGTAAAGCATGCAGAAATCCCTTTAGGGACTGGGAGCGTGGTAGAGCATGGGCTTTCATGCATGAGGGTCTGTGTTCCATCCCCAACACTGCAAGTTTCTTTTTTGGCCTGGACCTTTTAAGTTTAATGCACTTCACTCATCTCTGAGTTGTAACATGGAAATAGAAATATCAACCTATCCCTGGTTCTAGGCATATGGTACCATGAGTTCCACCCTAAAGTCACA